CATCCGAAAAGCCTTTCTTTCCCTCTCACTCACATCTTTTTCTCTAGCTAGTGGGCGCACCACAATTGTTTTCCATTCCCCCTCCACTAATGGCCAAATCCATCCACCACCGCCAACTCAACCCTTCCTCAAGCCATGTACATGGCACTTTTCATCTTGCTCCTCTACGTGATCACCCATAGAACAATTAAAAAAAATGATTTGACTAGCACATCAATCAAGTAATTTGGCATCTTGGGATAATTAAAGGGTCAATTTGGACTTAATAGGAGGCAATAAACTATTGTTTCATCGACGAAGGAACTAAATGGTATAAATAAGAGTCTTAATAGGAGGCAATAAACTATTGTTTCATTGGTGAAGGAAGAATACGGTATAAATGGCAGAAAAAACTTTCCTATAATGTCATTTGTAGGAAATATTTCTTGTTGACCATAAAAAATCCACAAGATCTTCCATCCAAAAGCATGCACTACCATTTCCAACTCAAAATCTAACTCAAACAAAGAAGGTGATTGCCATTCTATGAAGCACGGACAAGCAGACGATAAAACACAATATGAGGCACAACAAACATGAAAAAAATAGGGCAATAGGGCACGATTCTTCATAAACACATTTTTATATTTAATTAATTATTAACACTGTAATTGCCGGGTCCTAAGCATCGGAGGTGAAAAGTTGAGTGTTGTCTTAAGTAGTCGACAGCGAGTGTAAAATTTATCAAAAAATCATGACATGAATACTTTTGATCATTGTGTAAATGTCAAGATGTCTCCTAGAAGCGACGCGCTGTATGACTTGAATACAGTGAAAAGTGTGCAAGCGCCGCTACACCTACGCCCGGTGTAGTGTTAAATAAGTAAGGACTCTCACATTACGAACGAATGCGGATAAAGAAGTTAGTTGATGAAACTAACATTAGGATATGACCTTGAAATATAAGTACTTTCATAGGTAAATTAATGAAATTAGTTGATATCATGATTTATAGAAAGATAAATATCTTATGTACTCAAGAAACTAAATAAGTTGGAGAAAATGCTAAGGATATTGATAACTTAAATTTTAAACTTTGGGATTCATGTGAGAGTCACACTAAAAATGGTGTAAATGTAATTATAGATAGGAGTTTAAAAGATAATGTTGTAAAAATTAATAAAAATGAAGATAAAATTATAGCCCTTAAGATTATTGTTGATACTAAGATTTTTAGTATTATAAGTGTTTATGTTTCTCAAATAGGCTTAAATATATATTCTAATGATAAATTTTGGAATGAACTAAAAGAATTAATACAAATGATACCTTTTGAACAAATAATTTTTATTGGAGTACATTTAAATGGACATGTAGGTAGAGTGGTAGAAGGTTTTAGAAATATTCATGATGACTATAAGTTTGGAGTGATTAATGAAGATGTTAGTCATATTAGGTTTTTTGTTTTAGTGTATGGCTTTTTTATTACTAATACTTTATTCAAGAAAAGAAATGGACATATTATTACTTATAAGAATAGATCTAATAAAACATAAATTGATTATTTTCTTATAAGAAGAAGAGATCGTCGAGAATTTAAAGATTGTAAGATCATTCCAAGTGAGGATTTAAGTACTCAATATCAATTATTAGCTCTAGATTTTAAGATAAAGTGTTGTCAAATAAAGAATATTATGAATCATTGACGTAGAATTAGATGGGGCATCTAAAAAACATAGATAAAATTAATTTTATGAGTATACTTTAAGATTTCAAGTTTTGGGATGTTCATGAAGAAGTAAATTCTATGTGGGATAAAGTAACAAATACTATTAAACAAGTTACAAAAATATACTTGAATAATCAAAAGAAAATTTTTTATAAATAAAATTAGTTGGTAGCGGAATAATAATGTATAAGAAAATATAAAATATAATAAATTATGTTATAGAAATTAGTTTAAATGTAAAAAACTTATAAAACTGAGAAAAATATAAAATAGCCCATAGGGAGACTAAGAGAACAATCGGTGATGCTAAAAATTCTGTTTTTAGTGATTTTTATAATTCGTGACGCTAAAAATTCTGTTTTTAGTGATTTTTATAATCTATTAGATACTAAAGAGTGAAAAATATATGTATAAACTAGTTAAACATAGAAAAAAAAAGTAAAGACTTAACTCAAGTAAAGTGTATTAAAGATGAAAATCAATGTGTTTTTCTTAAGAAAATATTCAACATAGGCGGGTGAGTTATTTTGATAAACTTTTTAATAAAATTTTTGAAAATACGATTGGCTTTAGTGATCTTAATATCATTAATAATAATAAAACGTTTCATTTTTAATGTGGCGTTTGTAAAAAAGTTGATGAGACTTTAAAAAACGAAGGGTGGAAAGTCTGTAAGATATGACGATATCCAAATTAATGTGTCGAAATATATCAGAGAATTGAGAGTTTCTTGGGATACTAAATTCTTTAATATTATTTTAAAAACTATAAAGATGTCTGAGGAGTGGAGGAAGAGTATTTTGGTCTCCATTTTTAAGAATAAAGAGGATGCACAAGAGTGTGCAGATTATAAAAGAATTAAGTTGATGTGTCAAGTTAAAATTATGGGAGAGGGTAATTGGGACACATTACAAAGATTTGACATAATCAATTTGAATTTATGTCGGGCAGGTCTTCGACAGAAGCTATACATTTATTGAGAGGTTTGATGGAGAAGTTCGGAGAGAGTAACGAGGATCAACATATGATTTTTATTGATTTAGAAAAAGCTTACGATAATGTTCCAAGAGATATCCTGTGGAGAGTTCTAAAGAAGAAAGGTGTTGATATGACTTATATTCAAGTCATTACAGATATGAATACTAGAGTTGTAATTTGTGTTCGAACAAAAGGAGGATTGATCAAATATTTTCCTATTTCAGTTGGATTACTCAGTTGGATTACATATACATAAGGGATCGGCTTTAAGCCCGTATCTTTTTGCTTTAGTTATGGATGCTCTTATTGGACATTTACAGAAGGATGTAACATGGTGTATGCTTTTCGCTGATGATATCCTTCACGTGGATAAAACTAGAGGGAAAGCTCAAGAAAAAAATAAATTATGGAGGTCTACATTGGAGTATAAAGGCCTTTGTTTGAGCAGAACTAAAACTGAATACTTGGAAGGAAATTTAGTAGCAGTAGCTCTCGTGACAGTTGTAACTATGGTTGATCAAATTATTAAAAGGTGTGAACGCTTTAGATATCTCGGGTCTATTGTTCAAAGTGATGGTGATATAGATGGGGATGTTATTAGTAGAATTCAAGTTGGTTGGTTGAAGTGGAGAAATGGTTTGGGCCTATTGTGTGATAGAAAAGTACCGCTTACACTGAAAGGAAAATTTTATAAGATGGTAGCTTACCTACAATGTTAACTGCAATGCTCTATGAAACAGAATGTTGGCTTTTAAAAGAGAAGCATAAAATTAAGTTAAGTGTTGCCGAGATGAGAATGTGTAGGTGGATGAGTGGCTTTACACTAAGAGACAAAATGAGAAATGAATATATCCACGATAGGGTTGGTGTAGCTCCAATGTCGGACAAAAGAATTCATCCAGCTTATAATCCAACTTATCTACTAAAATTTAAAAAATCCTATAATTACAAAAAGAGAATTACTATTTGTCGGTTTCGACAAATATTGGATGCACCTTCAATGCTCGCTATTGACTAATGTTTGAGGGAGCTTCAAGATGACGATATATGGGACAATTTCAACTATGAGGTATAATAAGGATAAACGTATATTTATAATTTTCTAATTCACATGACTCATTTTTTTCGAAATTGTATTAAGCTCACATCCGAAGTGTTGATGTGTGTCCCAAACGTGTTCAGACTTAAAAAAAAATTCAAACATATTTTGTAGTGCTGGAGAAGTGTTGAGGCGTGTCGGACAAGTGTCGGTGTCTGATACGTTTCTGATACGACTACGCCATATGTTTATAAGTATCGGTGCTACATAATTGTCATTCCAACAATCCAAGTCACCGCCAAGAATGACTCCTTAAGGATATAATCCAACAGTAAACAAACAATATAAGAATTCTCTAAGCTCTCTCTATCACTAGCTCGTTTGCATTCTCTAATCTTAGCCGCCACTAGTTTTGATGATAATAATATACGGGACTCTCCGAGTGGTGCAGACCCATTTGTGCAATAGGAGAAGAGTGTCATATTAATATGGCAGGTTGCCCTCAACCCCATCACCCAAAGGTTAAGAAGAAAACTTCTTATAATATGTATAGCATGAAAATTTTGTTTATAAATAATATTATAGTTGAATATAGCATAGGTAGTTTGGATACTCTATATTCATAATAAAGATTTCCCGAATTAAAATCTTGATTTTTTCAATGGATCATAAGTGTTTGATAAATGACCATTGGGATGAGAACATAAGTTAGATTGGTCAAGCTAAGTATGGATTAAATGCTTGATTATGTTCCCAAAGTGGACCCCAAAGCCAAATCATATATCAACTACGGGAGACATGACAGATAAAGGCTTTCGCTAGTTTGCTACTACATTGTCAAAGGTTGAACTATGTGAAAAGTAAAGTGGCTTGGTGTTTGGAAAATGTTGTTTATCTGAGGTCATGAATTTGAGCCAAGCACTTTAAAGTTTAACACTAGCCAATCCCAGATATAAAACAATAATAATAATAATTTATATGATTTTATTGTCACAATAATGGATAAACTATGAAAGATGGAAGTGAAAATGGATTTTTTGACATGTTATCGATCTAGCAACCGATTAAATACAGTTTTATTTCATTAAATGGTATGTACTCGATCGAGCAGCCAAGATTTTTTTTTTTTTGGCAGAAGCCCATTCTTCAACAACAATGTCCAGGTTTTACATTGTTATAAAATAGTTTGAATCGCTTAAGATCTCCAAACTTAAAAATAAGATTAAACAACCAATCATTCTAGACAAGCTCACCTCTAGCAAATCCTATAACACGACTCTCAAGGTATTTTGAGAGTTCCATGCTTCAATTGGCCCAAATTGCTCCAACACATTACTTGATGGGTCGAGTAGTGCACAGCCATGATTGTGCATTTCTAAAACCTACAAGCTTATCTGACTTATTATACCTTCAACCACTACCTAGAAATCTATGTTAAATCAAATAACCCTCTATTGTTTCTAGCAATTGAATAGATCAACAACAATAATATTAAAGATGCCAAATTAGAGGTTCTGCTAGTACAACCGGTGTATGTTGAGAGCTCTTATCTTAACATCAACACATCAGTCCCTCCTTATTTTCACAAGTTTTCTAGCTTGATTCCTACCTACAACCTTGGAACCGCAAGAAAGGAAAGCCAATAATAATTAAAAAGCCCAAGCTATTAGCTCCATCAATACTTTTTTGTTTCCCTAAAACAACCTTTACATGCATTAAAAGTTAGCCCACCCACTTTAATTTATTTGATTAATCAACCTCTTCTTCTTCTTCTTAATCTCTTCAATTGACAGTAAACCTCCACTTCACCTTCTATCTAACAAACACCTTCACCTTCTCTGCCACCACTTTCGCAATTAACAAACTCTCTTACAAATGAATCAATTTTTTTCTCTAAACCCCACCCACAACATTTCATTAGCGGCCTATGACATAAGTTCCCTTTGTAGTATTTTCACCATATCCTAAACCTGATTATTCTTCCCCTTATACTGCAAAAAATGTTCAAATTGACTCCTTTTCCACCAACACTTTTCATGATTCTTCCTCTACTTTCTTCACCCAAAGCAGGACTGATCAGCCATAGCTTGAAGCATCAAAGGGTTAGATTTGAGATGATTGTGATTTGGTTCCTTCGCGCGGTCAAGACAAACATCAAACCTATCAACCTGACAAATAAAGTTAACTTTCAGCCCTGCTTGATGGATGTCTCTTACTGTCAATATCACTGAAGTATATGTAAAGAAGATAGGAATATAAAATTCACGTCTCTTCCATAGCAAAATAAATCCAAAATAAGAAATACAAAAACAATTTATAATGCAATCAGTGAAGTACCGTCCTACTCAAGCGAGTGCAGCAAAAATCAAACAGATCAAAGACAAGTAAAGCAAGTACTAACTTATGCATGCAAATAAAGATAACCTTTTCCATATTGCTGAAAGAATCAAGTTTCCTAGGCAACCACCCTTTCACTGCTTCCCCAGCAACCTTAGTAAGCCAGAACGGCCAACCAGCTGCTACATGTTCAGCAATAGTCCCATTTTTCACACTGGAGATCAGTAGATTCTGCTGCTGCTGCTGTTGCTTCTCTATAGCCTCCCCACTAACTGAAACCAGATCAACTAGTTCTGTCCTCCCATCATGGCGGTCCCATCTCTCTTGAACTGCAGCCTTCTTACTCTTGTTGAACGTAGTAGCAGTTTTCACGGTTCCGTTACCAAGCAGTACAGGATCCGGGTTGATGCCATTCTCTTTGGCATCCGGTATCAGCCTTTCCCTCCCTCCATCAATAGATTCCCGACTCAACCTTACACCCACATCCCTTTCCACTGCTTCTTCTTCTTTCTCTGATGAAGTCACCAATCTCTTCAATGACTCGTTTCTCCTGCCGTTGACTAACTTCTCTCCTTCGATCCCCTTAGAGCAAAAACAGCCCATAGACCCCTCGAAACTCCACTCAACACAGACTCATTAAACCGAAATTCCCCCCGAACTAAATCAGCATTCAACTGAAAGAAACTTCCAAAGAGCAAACCCTAAACCGTCATTCAATCACTGATCTCATCAAAATGCAAATCAAACTCCCCAAAAACAAGTAACATGACTATATAACACGCCCAAAAGCCGATCTTCTGCTTCCTTGCACGACACAACTGCTTCTTTCTCACGAAAATCAAAGTGAATACTATATAGAAAAAAATAAAGAAGAGAAGCCTGGACTTGCAACAGAGAAAAGAGAGAGTAAGCGGCTTCGAGTACTAAAAACGCGGAGGGGTGAAGGGATCTGAGGGAGAAGAAGAAGCAACCAACGACTTATCAGATAGAGATTGAAGGAGATATCGCCACCGCGTGATCTCCAGCTCCCGCTCGGAGCGGAGAGGGTGCTCTTACTAAGCGCGCCGTAGTTTGTTTTTATTTGCTTGTTATTTATTGATCTCGGTTCAAGGATTTGACTAATTCAATTTTCTTTAGCAATAACTATTCAAATTTATTCATGTAAATTTAATCTATTATAAAAATAAATTTCTTTCATTTTTTTAGGGATAATTACATCCAGACCACTTGAAATACTGATATTTATAAATTACTCATTAAGATGATTTTCCTCAACTGTCAAATTTATGTATTTATGCATTCCACTATCAAACTATCGAGAACTTGATAAAAATGAGAAATATGAATAGAGGTTTTACCGTGAATTTTGATATTTAAGTGAAAATTTAAAAATTGGATGGAAGGCCAGGGTCTATTTGTAAATATGGAGGTTTGGTTGGTTTGTATGTAATTTTCTCTTCTTTTATAGGAAGAGTTGAATATTTGTTTAATAAATCAAGTATAATATAATAATTATATTGCCCTACTGATGTCCTTAAAAAAATTTGTATGAGCCAGAATTAGAAGGGAGAAAGAGAGTTTAACGTTGACTCCAGAAAAATTATCTTAATATTATTATTTTTTTGGTTGGTGTTGCAATATAAAATTATTCTAATGAAGCATGGACCAACATTAAATTGTATATTGACATGCTTGTCCATGACTCATCATAAGTTATTTTAATAGAACCGCTTTTCACGTTTGAATAATGAAAATTGAATCAAGCATCCGAAATTTTTCATATCAACACCTTAAAATGCAATCTATATATCGCTTAAAAAAAGTTCGAGGGATTGATATCCTCAAGTCATTCCCGCTGTTGAGAAGCCAACATAGGTTGCTTCAAGTCGCGGTAGATTATTTCATTAAGTGGATCGAAGTGAAGCTACTCGCTCATTTAACAACGGAGGTTGTTTGAAATTTCATCTGGATTGGGCTCATCTGCAGGAATGGATTGTCGCTCGTTCTCTTCACGGACAACAGAATTTGATTCGTGGACAAATGAGAAAAAGATTTCTATCAGAGCTAGGGTATTAACCTGAATTTTGGATCAGTGCGTCACCCTCGGACTAACGGACTGGTCGAAGCTGCCAACAAAATAATCATGAACTTGCTTAGAAATAAAGTCGAAGGAACCGAAGGGAAATGGTTGGATGTCCCGCCGACCGTCCTCTGGGCGACCCTAACAGCGTTGTCGACTGCTACAGGGCAAATATCATTTATGCCATGGCACAAAAAGGAGGTCATGCTACCAATGGAGTATAATCACCGCTTTCAATGAATGGTAGCGACTTCAGCTTTCAATGACTTCACAAAGTGGCAAGAAACAAATGGTGAGGGAGCAACACTAACGTTCGAATTGTTGGAGAGTTCCGCACGAATTTTGTTCTCCATCAGGAGGAATTAAAGAGATGTATTGTGTGCTGCTACAACAAGCCTGTACAGAAGAAGACCTTTGCACCCAGAGGTCTCGAACTGAAGAAGCTAATCCGGGTGCACGCGGGCAATTGATTGGCAAGCTCGACAAAACTTGAACCGGAGCGTTTATAGTTGACCAAAGGGTCGGTCCAAGCCCATAAAAATTGAAAACCCACACCGGTTGAGGAGTCGAACAAACATGGAGCAGAGACGACCTCAAGCATTTCTTTCCTTTACAATTTTTTATATATCTCCTAGTGAAAGTTTAATAAAAAGAGGTGGTTTCATTCCATGTCTCCATGATTTTGTAAAATAAAAATATCAAAATATATGGATTGGCCAATTGAATATGCAAGCCAGGGTCGAACTAACACTCGGGGAACTCGAGGAGCTTATATGCTCCAGCATCTATCCAATACTTAGGGAACTCGACCCCGAGGGAGCTAACAACAACATCAAAGAAGTTCAATTAGCATAATCCAAAAAGAGATTCACAATACTCGTGTGTCCTCAACTTGTTCTTGAACTAGACGAAGCTCTTGAGGCGGTTCCCAGCCTAAGAGAGACAACTCCATGAATGGTGTATCTTAAATCACCCCGGAAGCAAGTTCCAATGACAACCCCCGTCTGGGGCGTCGTCCAATCGAGTAAAAGAAATATGAAATTTCCAAGTAATTTCTAAGCTTGAGCTGAATGCAAATTTTAGAGTTGATTCATTGCCCAATAGGGACAGTGAATGATACTGAACAAATTATCATATAATCAAGCCTCGATGGTATCCCATCTAAGGCAGAGATCCTGACAAGTAATTGAGGTCTGAGAGGTATAAGATGTGAGCCATTGACGCAAGTCATCATATTGGTCAAAAACACACAATGCCCACAATGGTGCACAACACCTAACTGCCATCAAAATGTCCAAAAAGTAGACCCACAATGCTAGAGCATTATAAGATCTACGCCTCTCGACTCGAATCAGACAAGGCTTGAGGTGATTCCCTACCCAATAGTGATAAGCTTCGTGAATGGTATGGAGTCAAACGACCATGCCAAAGATCATGCAAATCAAATTTTTATGCACGTCGATTATTGTTTTAAACCCTAAAAAATTATTATTTTCTTTCGCAGATCAATCCAGTGATTCAAATTACATTCTACAAGTTGCATGATCATCATATTCACATATAAAAAATCATTCAAATCTGTTTTGTGGTAATTGGACACCATTTTACGTAAAGTTATGCCATTAGGGTTCTTATACATGATAAATTGTCTCACGTAAAAATTTGTTAACGAGTCACTATTTTGAAAAACAAACTTAGCCATTGTGTTCATATCATCAAAATCTTTCAAATGAGTCATTTCATACTAAATTTTGACCTCGTTTGGGTACTTTTTGAGCCGACGATAATTTGGAGAGAGAAAATAATAATTTCCATGATAAAAAATAATCTGATTATAACTTCTTCAAAAGAACTTCAACCCCATACCTCAATAAAAGTTTTTCTAAACTCAAAAATACATAATTTGGACTAATAAAATTCAATAAAAATTATTGCCAAAAATGATCATTTTCTCTCCTATTGTGAGGCTCATTTTGACCAGCCAATCTTGCTATTGAGCTTAAATTAATCAAAACTAATTAGACCATTAAATTCCATGGATTTATCACTATCAAATAGGCCAAAGTAATTTTTTCAACCATAAATACTCCATAATCACCCATATCCACCTTTCATAATCACCTTTAAACTTCAAATTGTCATATGTTAGGAAACTCCATTTTTGAAATGACTTAGATCGTTGAAATTATTGTTTTGCCCTCTTTAAATGTGAGTGTGTATGAATGTGTGTTGCTTCGATGGTTGAAACCTTTTAAGTCCAAAAGGTCTTTCTAAGGCACTTCTAGTACTTATGGGAACTCGACTTGAGTTTCAATATGTTGATTTCAATCAAATCGACTAAATGTCGAAGATTTGAAAACACAGGTATGAGACTACAAGGAGTAAAGAACGGTTCAAATTTCTAAGTGGTGTGGGTCCCAATACTAGTGCTCTAGGAGAGTCAACAAAGAAGTCATATGATTAGATCCTAAACTCCTAAAGAGAGAAACATATCTCACAAAAAATGAGGTCAACAGTTGCAGGACTTGTTATCTCCCAAATAAATTTTCCCTATATCACTTTGAGTGTAGTTTTTAAATACATCTTTATTGGAGCATGCATAAAAAGGCACTTGAATTTACTATCCAAGATTCATTGCTAAACATGAATAACACCAGTGAGTCAATTTGGATTTCACTGTTGGAGACATTTGTAGAGAGACACCTTTCATGTCCCTTGTCAAATTTCCTTTGAACTTTGCAGTCCTTCTTGAAATACATTTTCTTACCGTAGTTTTAACATTCTCTTATGCTTGACTTGAACTTTCTCCCTCAGATTTGGGCTTGCCTCTGTCTGTATTCCTGCTCAGATTTCTTCCTATGTTATCAACATTCAATGCAAAAACCTGAAGATTCACCATTCGCCATATTTCTGTGAACTTCTTCGTTCGGCATCAGACTCATGATGTCATCAATATTCAACTTTGAATTCCTTGAACAATTACTCATCGTTTTAGACCAAACCATCCTAGTTATCTAACAATGAAGATAGTAGTAAGTGATCTAACCTCATCATCAAATTTGATCCCACAGAACACAATCGACGCCACAGTATTGAATTTTTTAAAATGTTGTGCCGATGAACTGTTTTCCACCATCTTCATGTTGAATAATTTCTTCATCTGAAAAATCTTATTGGAACTAGAAGGTTTTTCATACATATTTTTCACTATCGCCATGTGATTCATAGTTTTCTCATTTACAATGTTGAATGCAACAGATGAGAGAAGTGACAACCTGATCAAACCTAGTGTCGTTTGATCCAACACTTCCCATTCCTCCATAGACATAGACTCAAGCTTCCTTGTAGTGACAAATATAACTTTTTTTGATATAACAATTCCTTCAATGGCATCTTCTAGAATGCAAAGTTTGTCTCATTAAATATCTCCACTTTGAACCTTGCTTCTTTGATCATTGCTCCCACTTGAATCGAATCCCGCTTTGAAATCACTTTCTTTGGTAGAAAAAAGGAACTTGATGAAGAACACACATAAGAAGCAGTCCTTAAACGCCACAACCTTACTCTTATACATCAGGTGCTCTGTCTGCGCTTAGTGTGCACTTAAGTGCCCACAACCAGTGCTCTGTCTGCGCTTAGTGTGCACTTAAGTGCCCACAACCTGACACTCATGTGTCAGACTCTATGTCCTCGCATGTTGCTCTCCAAATCAGCCTCAATACATAATAAGCTTTGCCGACCTAAGATCAACACTCTGAGCGACCAAAGAAGCACAACATGATTGACTGAAGACCCTCAATTTGATAGACAAAAAGCCCATAGCTCGATCGATTGAAAAGCCTATAGTCTGACTGACAGAAGACGCAACCTCAAACAATTGCAGGATGAGACATCCAAATCATATATCAATTTTATTTTATTTTATTAATGTATTTATTTACGAGCAAAATACCTAACGAGGTCCTTATTTCAAATGGGTTTGACAGGTAATTGCA